CTCCTCTGAGCTGGAACAGGAAATACTTGTAAAAGTAAACAGTAAACATTTGGAAACTTTCAGCCCCAAGATGTTAAGCAGGCTGAAAATATAAATAGCTTCAAAAAGGTTTAGATATTATTCATGGATAAAAAGAATGTATAAAAATAATAGCAAAAATATTAAAAGTTTGCCAATACAAGTGTTTGTGAGGATGTGGAACAAAGGAAATACTGTACATTGCTGGTACAAACGTAGTTTTGTCCAGCAACTTTGAAAAACAAGTTAATATTATGCTATAAAGTTAATGGCCACATACAGTTCCACTCTCTGTGTATGTCCTAACCCTCCTAGACGTGCTTTGGAAGGTGTATATGAAAATGTTCAGAAAGGTGGTGTCCACCACAGAAAAAAAAAGAAAAAATGGAAAACCCCAAATAGTCACAGAAGGAAAACAGCAGTGGATATGAATGCACTTCTCTACATGAAGAAATATGGATGAATTTTGGAAGCATATTGATGAAAAAAGCAATCTGTGGAAGAGTTATGTGTACTGACACCATTTTTACACATCTCAAAAACATAAAAAACTTTTAGGTTTTCTTTTAGGGAACCATACATATGCCATAGAACTAATTTTAAAAGCAAAAGGAGGATTAAAAAAGAAAATAAAAGCAAAAGAATGATTAATACAAAAATTAGAACCTTGGTTTCCTCCGGAGGCAGATAAACCAGAGGGTGGGACTAGGAAGGAAATACAAGTATCTTCCTTAGGCCTGGTAATGCTTTAATTTGTAAACTGGGTGGGGTTCACTAGTGTTTGTTTAATTTAGGTTCATAACTTACATGTTCACTACATATAGCCTTGGACACTTAATAATCTTCCAGTGGAAATGAAAATGTTTACTTTCCTAGTCATCTAGGTAGACTTGATGGAAAACAACTCCCACGCTCATTCTGAAAATGTAATTTGGTGCCAACAATCAGATGAAATGGAAGGAAAACCATGGGTCCGATCAAGGATATCTTTTAAAAAATAGATAAGTAAATAAATGTTCTAATTTCAAAGTAATAAATGTGAAAAACCAGAAAACTATAAAGAAAACATTTTAGGCCATCTGTAGTTCCACAATCTACATATAAACAGTTAACATTTTATCATATTTTCATCTAGTTCTTCTTCCTACCTAAAACGAATCAGTACAGCACTGAGAAAGGCGTTTTCCCACACAGGCTGGGAACCTTGTTTCCCTGCAGACAGCAGTGATGCTGTGTGTACACGGTACAGTCCTTGTCTCATGCTCAGTTTTAAGTTCTGTTATATAAGCTGTCTATATAAATGACAACTAAGTTTTAGTATTTCCTTCACTGGAAATTTTAAGGAATTAGAGAAGGACAATCAAACTCAAGGTTGCCAAATCTTTTCCACTGTCATCGTTAGCTTCTAACTCAATTATGGAAATTTATATGATGGGGTGGAAGAAAATTTTCTTCTATGACCTGCTTTCTTAAACTCTGATCTCAAATAAGAACACATTTTCTTGGAAGGTTTTAGAAAGGGTTTGACATTATTTCTAATTTTTGAAACCATGGGAAATTGTCTTTTTGGTCATTCATAATTTTAAAGGCAATTTCCCTGTTCCTGATCGTATATACAAAAGATTAATAGCATGCTGTTTACATCTTTATCCAATGTATTTTTTAAAAGCTTATTCCTTAAAAACTATCCCAACCTACCTTCTAATCAACTGTTGAGAGATTATACAGTGTCAGAATTAGAAGATATTTTAATGAATCTCTGTAGGTTTAAGGTATGAGTTCTAAATATTTATAGCTGATTTTTAAGGATTAAACACCAAAATCTTACATGTGCTGGAAAGCTTTTCGTGCCTCTCCCATGCTGGATTCCTAAAATGTGGTTCTGATTCAGGAGACCTGGGGTGGTCTTGGGCATTTCTACAGGGGAGGCTGAGGCCCAGCCAGGCTTGAGAACTACTACCCTAAGCTTAAGGATGTTAACCAATCAAAAACCAAAACAAAACTCTTCTTTAACCAGACCTGTGTTAGCCTGGGGAGGGAGATCAATCAATATTCCACTCTTGTGTGTCAATTTCTGAAAGACATGGCTTGAGCAATCCCCCTCCCAGCCAGTGCAGAGTAGTTCAGTAAGTGATGAGTGGGCAAATCTGCCCAGTCCCGAAGACCCACCGCTTTTCTTGAGGAAATGGCAGCACATTATTTTTTTTTCACTTAAGAAAATACAAAATGCTGCAAGAGCCCATTGCCTCCAGGAACTTCACAGTGAACATAAAGGAAATTCAAGCTAAAGAAAATTGGGAGAAGGCCCTCAAAATGATTCATCTGTTTGTTTTGTTTTGTTTGCTTTTGGCCAGCTCTCCATGAGATTCTTGTTTATGAGGAGTGTCTGCCACTGATAATCTTGTTTTCTTGGTTTGATATTAGTGGCTTTACAAAGAGGTCAGAAAGGCTGGGAGAGGGAGGAGAAGATGGTAAATGTGAATCAACAGCAATCTCTACAGGTTGCCAGTTGTAGCACTTCCTGTGAGCTAGTGCATAGAGGTAAATACCTTTAAAATAAACAGCTATAGGATTCGGGGACAAGGGTAAAGCTGTCTGCCCAGGCCTTGGAATTAATTTAGAAAAAAGCCAGCACTTTTCATTTAACCACTTTGGAAATGTTTATGCATTATCTTCCCTTATCCACTAAAGAAAACACGGCCACAGGACACGCTCGTCCTTGAACATTTCATAAGACATTAACAACCGCGGCAACAATAGAACTTAGGCTAAAATTAAAGTTTAAGGAGCTTCAAAATATTTTTAGTGCTTTTCATCTGAAATTGTTTAGACTACCTTTAGAGAAACTTTTCAACAGTTTCCTTACTGGAAAGAGCTGAGAAGTTTTATAAGGCCAAGGTCACTAGAATGATTTGCTTTATAAGTTTCCTTTAAAAGAAAGAGAGAAGAAACAAAGCAGCAGCAGCAGCAGCCCCTGTCGACCACAGAAAAAACAGCGCTGAAAAAATAGAGTTCTGTGAAGTAAAGTAGACCTGACTGCAGAGGTTAGATCTTTATCTTAATTTCTAGAAATCAGGCCTGTTTGTTTGATGTACCTTGGAGAAGTAGGTGCTTTCAAATGGTCCTCCCACAGATCTCCTTAGCAGCCAGCCAAGTCCAAGGGTCCTCAGCCAACGAACCCAGGCAATACTTTCAAGTCAGTCAGGGCCCACCCATAAAACTTCATACAAATCCTATAACAGGAAGCCACAAAAATATAGTGAGGGAAAATATACCTGATTAAGTGGAAAAACATTAGCTGTCCTTGAATTATATAATAGCAATTAAATAATACAAAGAGGGGAAGTGCATGCATAACAGTCTTTGAATCTGAGTCCAGTTTAGAAATCTGTACATTTGATTAATATTTCTGAAGGACTGGGGATTCCACAAAGAAGTAGCAAAAGTTTTCAAGGGAGAGCCAGCATAACTGTGTCAACAGAATTAGATGGAAACTTTCTAGGGCAAGAAATAAAATCAGAGGCAGCAGTTTCCCCTGTTCTATGTTCTTTTAGGCAAAAGGAGCAGTGCTGGGTGGTTCCAGTGGGTGGCTGTGGCTTGGAGGGTGATCCCAGGGATATCAATGGCATTGAGGGCAGTCAGTGCCCATCGAAATGGCAGTGAGCCCCTGTCTGCATTTAGACTGTTGCCCTCCTGATTTTTTTTCTGCTAAACTAAAGGCAGAATGGCCTGTTGAAAAGGATCTAGCGAAGCATGGGACGGAAACTGAAGCTAAGGCTTTCCAGTCTAGGGTACTGGTCACTAACTGGGCAACATCGGGAAAGCAAGTCTTCCTGGGCCTCACTCTTCTGCTCTGTTACAGGAGAAAACTGGAGTTAATCTCCAAAATTCTTTCCAGCTCTGAAGTTTTGTGTCAAAGAAAAGGGGTAGACAGGTGCCAACAGAAGAAGAAGCATCTCTGACCTGGCTGGTCCCGGTCCTAGCTCAGCACTGTGACAGGAATCACTGCTACAGAATTTTAGGGGGTGGGTATTGAGCTCCCTAAAAACACAGGGAGATTTTTCTGTGACCTGATGAATGGCTTGAGTCCAAGACTCTCTCACAGTAGAATGGCTTCCTGTCTTACCTGAAAGCCCCTTCAAATGACCTAGAGGAGAGAGGTAAAGACATTCAGCTAGAGAGGCAGGGGTCCAAGTCACTATAGCAAAGGTAACAGCATCGCACAGTAGAAAAAGTGACATCATGCAGGCAGATCAGTGGAAGGTGGCTCTTCCCAGGCACAAACCACATCAAAGCATGCTCAGGAGTGTACTGGATGGTTTTGCAGTTGTTTGTTACAACAACAAACCAATGCGATTCCCACACTTGCACTTGTCTTTTAAGGTCAGCAATGTCAAGTCCTGACCTGTTGGTACCAAATCCATGGCCAAGATCTTGAAGACTCTAACTTATATTTGGATATATCTTGAATTGGGAAGAGGGAGTGGAGGGGTGCACAGCTGTCTCCCCCCCCCCCACCCCTGTTTAGGGTCTACTTAGGGATGGAGAAGACGCAGCCGAAGTCGCCTTGCTCTAGACTCTGCTGGAGCAATGTCTGGCTCTAAAGCAGGAACCACAAGAGACCCTGGAGCTTATCATGGACCCGTTGTCTTAACTTTACAGTGTAGTTTAATACAATTACAGGGGAAATCTGCGATTTTAAAGCACAGGTGCTGTAGATTCTCCTCATTTGGGTTTTGGCTCTATCTTGGAAGTCCTCACCTAGAGCGGACACATAGTGAAGTGGCCCCCTCCGTGCCCTGTGGAACAATGGCCAGGGCACGCGGGGCAGTGAACAGCCAGGTTGGCCAGAGGCCTCAGACTCCTGCCTAAAACTCGGGGTGGAGGGGTGGAGGAGGAGGGTGCAGATTGCAGCGTGACTCACCAGCCCTCAGGTGAAGATCTCTCCTGATGCTCAGTTCCCAGCCTGGGGCACTGCGGGGTAAATGACATCTCTGTGGACCTATCTCCACCTCTTCGCACCGGAGAGATTAAAAGCGCCGCCCCACCTTCCCCAACTTGGAGAAGTCTCTTCTGTCCTGTGGGCCGTTGCTTCGGAAGAGGCGCGGGGTGTGCAGCCAGCCCTCCCTGGCGAGGTCCCCTTTACAGGCAGGACGACGCGAACTGGTGAGGCGTCCCCGCGGCTGACTCGGGTTGTACCCTCTCCCGACCGCCATCTGTCAAGCCAGTCCGGTCCCCCCACCCTCCCCGCGGCCCCCTCTCCCCCGATGCTTTAAAGGGAGGTTTTCAAAATCACCTCGCGCCTCCTTCCCTCTTTCCTGAGAGCCGTGGGGCCGGCAGGGCGCGCGGCCTCATCTTGCTCCCAACCGCCCCAGACCGGGGCCCGCGGAAAATCGCTGTCAGGCTCCGGGGCAGGTCCTGCCGCAGCCCGCAGTCGCGGGGGACCCGCGCCGCCGCCAGGCTGCGGGAGGGGACAACGCAGTGGGCCGAGGGCGCCCCGCCGCGCCCCACCCCCGTCCCCTGCGCGTCCCGCCCGCCGCAGCCCCGCTTGCTCACCGCCCGGCTTCTCCTCCTCCCGCAGCCGCGCCGGGACCATGTCCGCAGAGACCGCGAGCGGCCCCACGGAGGACCAGGTGGAGATCCTGGAGTACAACTTCAGCAAGGTCAACAAGCACCCGGACCCCACCACGCTGTGCCTGATTGCGGCCGAGGCCGGCCTTTCCGAGGAGGAGACCCAGGTGAGCCCCGGCACGCGCCCCGCACGCACCCCGCCTTTCCAGGTCCTGCCCCCCACACCGCCGCGCAACCCTCGCCTGGGCCGTCTCGCTAAGGTGAGGGTGCCCCTCGCCCTCGCCTGGCCTCGCCGCCCTCCCCGGATAGTTCGTCGCTTCTGCCCGCACCCCGGGAGCCCAGATCCCGCATCGCGGCCCTGGCCGCGCCCCCACCTCTCGGCTCCCGGCTCCAGGGGCTGCCCGTGCGCACCTCCAACCCTCCTTGCCCGCCGGGGCTCCCCCAGGAGTCGCTTAGAAACCTCACGTTCATCCTTCCTCCTCCACGCTTTTCCAGTCTCCACTACAGCCCGGGATAAACGCTCTCCTCCCTCCAGATGGGAGCGGCGTCCCCGACCCGCTCTTGCCTGGCTTTCCCGGCTCAGTTTCTCCCCTGGGCTCTGGCCGAAGCCTTTCCGAGACGAACCGCGCGCGCTCCGAGCCCAGCGCTCTCAAACCTATTATCCGCGGGAATGTCAGAGCTGGAGCGGACTTTAGCGATCGGCTGTAAATCCAGTCAGTCCTCAGGTTTGGTAAAAGGGAAAACTGAGGCCAGAGGAAGGGAATTGCCAGAATGGCACGGGTCGTTAAGCACGCTTTTCCCACCCTATCTCATTCCAGCCTCCCTTTACCTGCAGAGCTGAAATTGCATATAGCCGGGGAGATTTGGTTCGGATATTTAAAACTTCGCCAGCTGTCATCAGATTTAGCCTTTTTCTGGACTTTTCCAAGAAGGTAGACATCTGACATTACAGGTGAAAGGAGTGGAAGCAGATGTGCCCTTAAGTGCATTGATTGATTTATCTACTTTTTTAAAAAGATTTTATTTGTCTATTTTTAGAGAGGGAAGGGAGGGAGGGAGAAAGAGAGAGAGAGAAACATCAATGTGCAGTTGCTGGGGGTTATGGCCTGCAACCCAGGCATGTACCCTGGCTGGGAATCGAACCTGCGACATTTTGGTTCGCAGCGCCCCTGTCCCCCAATCCACTGAGCTACACAAGCCAGGGCTCGATTTACCTACTTTTAAAAGCTTGTGTTATCCTGGAAATTGTTTAGGGTAGAGAATGAAACACTATCTATGACTATTAACCTCCAAGTGCAGTGTTGGCTTCTCCAACCAACTTTTTAAATTTTATTTATTTAGTAACCCTGCCTAAACTCTTTTACTTTCCCTTTGGTCATGGAAAGACAGGTATGCATGATAATACCACTTGGAGCTGCTCTAGCATCTTTCCCACAGGAGCCCAAAGCACTTCACGCTTCTAGTCTCAGCTCCAGCGCAGGATATCCTCATTCTTTCCATTGCATAGACCAGAGCATCCCACGCTTTGTCCCCTCCTCCCCACCAGCCACGCTCAGGTGAGACTTGAAAGTTTGTAATGGGTGCTCCGGTGGATCCTAGAACTAAGACCCTGGACCCCAGTCCACAATGATTTTTACTAATTAGCCAGGCACACTTTGGGTAACTTGCCTCTAGAAACTCCTCGTTCCTAGGCTAAATAGAAAGTCACACATGCCTGTTTTTAGCAAAGGGAACAGCAGAACTTAGTAGAAGGTGATTTGCTGTAACCCAAGTCTTACAGCTCATGTTTCTTGGAACCCTCTGAGGAGGCAGCTTGCTGAAGTTTTATCATTTAATAGCCCATACTATATTTAGAAAAGAAGAGGGATCACAGAGACAATCATTACTCATCTTTTAAATGGAGGGTGCAAATTTATTGCGGGCACTGCACCAAGTAGGGGTCTAAGCTCTCCTCCGCCTCTGATTCTCCCATGGTGAATCACCACCATTCCCTTGCCTGTAAGGCAGAATAAATGTTGATCTTTGTCATGGCTGATACTTGCCAGGCATTTTTCCAGGCACCCTCCAAGTGTTAAGTCACTTATTTGCCACAACAATGCTGTGTGGTATGCACTATTAGCCCCATTGTATAGATAAGCCCACTGAGGCACAGAAAGGTTAAATAACTTGCTCAAGAACACAACTAAGGCCCTGGCTGGTGTGGCTCAGTGGATTGAGCGATGGCCTGTGAACCTAAAGGTCACAGCACACGCCTGGGTAGCAGGCCGGTTCCCCAGTTGGGTGTGTACGTGTGCAAGAGGCAACTGATTGATGTTTCTCTCCCTCGCTTCCTCCTTTCCCCTCTCTTTAAAAATAAATAGATAAAATCTTAAAAAAAAATCTAAGAAGTAACAGAACTAGGATTTGAACCCTTATAGCTTGGACACAAGCCAGACTCCTAACCAGTATGCTACATTATCTCCACAGAGAAGAAATGTGAACAACTTAGTGGGCTGTGAGGAAAACACTGAAAATTTAACTTATATTTCTTCCTGAAAAAAATCTATGCATTAGATGACAGTCATCTCGGGCTGTATGCAATCTTTCCTCAAGATGGACCTTCTATTAGAGAACTGAGATGAAATCACGTGAGGGGCAGGCAGAAAGGGCACCTGCTTCTTTCTGTGATGGAGGTCAGCCACGTCAGAGCCCTGCACAGAGGGGCATCTGCCCTTCTCAGCCAGCCCTTCTCCCGTTTCCCCTCTTCTCCCTTCCTCGAATAAGACCCAGCCCTGAAATGAGTGGGCGTGGGGGTGAGTCAGCCTCATGGCAGGGCCCCTGGCTTCCTTTTCCTGCCATGGGGGCCAACACCTCCTTCCTCCCTGAGGTTGCCACAGCTGGGCTTGCCTCTCCGTCTTCCTGCATAGACCCGCAGGGAAGCAACTGAAACCTTGGGGCTCAGAGAGAGGCAACATTTAGCAGGTTTAGGGAAAGAGGATTCCAAGGTAACCCTCTGTCATCCCCACTGATTGGGTCTCATCTTCCAACTGCCCATTCTTTCCACCCCCACCCTCCTGCCTGCTTCCACCCCTTCCCAACCCCTCCCACCCCAGCTTGTGCTGGTGAATGAGAATGGTTTCTTCTTTAATCTTCTCAAACAACACTTACATTTTTTAAAAAATGTTTTCTTTAAAACAAGCATCTTCTGGAGACATTGTGTCAATAATAAAATTATTTTTCTTTATAGCAGGCTTTGCAGGGACCCTTTAAATAATTTAGGGAGGCCAGGATGTGCTGGGCCTACACATAAGCAGTGCCTGGTATCAGCACACCCCCTGTTTCTAGTCTTCATTGTAGTGTTGTCCCTTGGCACAAGGAAAGGTCATGAAAACAATTTTTACTTCCTATACCCAATTCCCTCATTCCTAACAGCCCCACCTCCAGAATTGGCATCATATTCTTCATTTTCCTAGAACAGGTAATAGTTAGTAGAAGAAAAAGCAGCACAAGATGCTCCTGTGAGATAATAAACTAGAGTTGATTCACATCTCTGGTACTTTGGCAGGGGCGAGAGGGACTGAAAAGGTGAAATGTTCTGTGACTGGGGGCTTTGATGACCCCTTTCTAACTGTCCCAGTGTAGAACCCTGTTCTCTGCTCTGGGGGGGCGGGGGGCGGACCTGGAGGAACCTAGAGTGACGTGAAGGGTGATGTGAGTGGTGATCTAATGGAAATAACTTTTTAAGTTGCTTTTGCTGGGATCCTAGAATAGGTTTTTCTCAGGACAGTAATTTGACATCTCCTACATTTAAATTAGATAAACTGGACAGAATGCCAACCCCTGTATCTTTTTTTGTTTTGAAGTCAGTGTTAGAAGCCTCTGGGAAAGCTCTTTCATCAGCCCCCGGGGAGGCTGAGGTGATCTGGCGTTTTCTACTGTCGCTGACTCGAGCCCAGTGTACCTGGCACTGGTTCTTAGAGAGGTCCTCTCAGCGTCCTGGGACTGTTCCCAGAACTCAGTGGTTTTAGTTATTCGATGTTTTATCAGTGGAATAAAGACCTCTAAAGGTCTCCCCCTGAAAAGGATGAAATGTTAGTTAGTAAAGAAAAGGACAGGAACAATGTGATTTTGCCTCAACCCCTCCCCACCGCAGTGTCTAATTATCATCTGTTCACCGGGAGTAAATAAATCTCCATCAATGGGCGAGGGTCAGGAGGGCGTTCAGTTGTAAGCAAGCGAGGGATGAATGTCTTTCCCAGGGGGCGACAGGAACAAAGAGGAGGGAGATCGTGCCAGGTGGAACATTAGTACTGATGTGAGTGAGTTGCAGTAAGATTCAGCTCTGGGGAGGGGAGAAGCAAGCAGGGTGTCGCATGGTTTTCGTTGGACAACAACTGGTTTGCTAATTTATTCTATATATGTACTTGATTTCAAGTATGTGTCTTTAGAAAACAGTGGAGCTTTTCTTGAACTTTGTCCCATCCCCCCAGGGCTAGGGTTCAATTCGTGAAGCATCGGGATGCCAGGTCACCGATTCAGAAGTGCGGTCCTGGCGGAAGTTATTTGCAGTAACTGTACATTAATATTCTGCTTCACTAACAGCGTAAAGATGTGGGTGGCTCTTCTGAATGAGGCCAGCTCAATCATTTTGTCTTGAATGAATCCTGATAGTAAAAAGAGACTGTCCTCTTCCAAGTTTTAATTAGTCAGTCTTTAAAACTCTGCCTTTTATTCAGCTTTGGTAACTGGAAATCCCACTGAATCAGACCTTGTGGCCATGCAAGCCCCCCACAGAGCTGCCTCATTAGTGAAACGGGAGCCATGCTGCTCTCGCACCAGGTTTCAGAGTTAACTGAACACACACATGGCCTGCAGAAGAAAACGGTGCCCACCTTTAGCAGTAGAACTTTGGCTAAAGCCATCCATCAAGGTTATATGAGGTCTCTCTCCTTCAGGTAAGTTAACCCCAGGAGTGAAACATGGCACCCGGAGAGCAACCCCCAAAGAGAAGGCTTCCCAAAGGGTAGTCAGCTGTCTCTGGCTTTAGGGTACTTTCCTCTGTGGCCACCCCCCAGTGCAAAGATATGAAAGACAACTGATCTTAACAGCTATGTACGGCATTTCAGAGTGTAAACTTGTTGTACAGTTAGGGTGAGTTGTGGGTATGGTCCCATGCTGTGCAGCCAGCTTAGCCTTGGTGCAGAGCCCTAACCTGTCTTATGGCCTGACTTGCTGCTAACTCCATAGGCCTTTCTCCTTGGAAACACTCCTTCTTCTACTGTGGCTCTCATCCTTTCTTCTGATCTTGAGCTTATGCCAAACTGCCTTTCAGCTCGCTGGATCTCTGTAGAGATGACGTCTTCCCCAGCATGGCCCTAGAGCCAGCCTATTTGTTCTTAGGTTAAATGTGCAGCTGGGCAGGTGTCCATCTATGCTAAGTCAGAGCCCTCTCGATGTTCTTTATTGCACTGTCTCCACCAGCACCCCCAGGTCTGGCATCCTATAGCTGTGCTCTTTCTGCCCCCTCATCTGCTTACCCCTAGAATAGGTAAATTTTAGAAAACCCAGAAGGGACAATGGAGCACCGTGCTCCCCCCTCGACCCCTACCACCAGCTAACATCTTCATTCACAGTGGAGCTGACTGGTGCTCTATTTTAAGGGACTTCCTCAAGGTCTCATCGTCAGTTGGTTACAATAGAGCTTCCTGTTGGCATGGCCCAGGTCTGCAGAGCCCCTAGTGGTCACCTGCCCAAGCAGCTGGCCTGTGTGCACCAGTGGGACTCGAAATACCAGCATTCTCGGCGTACACCAGCACGTGTGAAGTTTGGGAAGCCCAGGGAGAGTAGAGCCTGCAGGTCCCATAGATCCTCTCACTCATCCTTTCCCAGGCGGACCACGCTTGCTGCGTCATTTCTCAGTAGGCCCTCTTCCAAGTCTCTTTCTCTTTTTTTTTTTTAATCAGTTTCCTCCTGGCAAACCTGGTTCATGCCCTAGTCTTTTTCCCAGTGTGGGTCTCCTTAGCTCCTCTTTGCAAGACTCCCCACCCCTTTGGGAGCATAGTAAAGGCAGCCCCTGCCTTTCCTTTTTTTTTTAATTTTTTAAAAATTTCTATTCTTGATTATAGAGAGACAGAAGAGAGGGAGCAGGAGAGGGAGAGAAACATAGATGTGAGAGAGAAATATCAATCAGTTGCCCCTCATACATGCCCCAACTGGGGACCAAACCCACAGCCCAGGCCTGTGCCCTGACTGGGAAACAGACGGGCCACCTTTCGGTTTGCAAGACAACACCCAGCCAGCTGAGCCACACAGGAGGGGCACTGCCTTTCAACATGTAAAAATGTTTTTGCCTTCATCTGACACCATGTGTATAAGCATCTCATCTGGGGCCTTCCTTAAATCCATGACCGCTTTCGTGAGGTGTCAGTATTTGGGTCACCAACAGCTGGAAGATTCACAGTAAACTGGGAGGCCCCACTTCATCTTCTCTCATCGCTCAGCAGCCTCGGAGCAGGGGAGAGTGAGCCAGCCTACTCCCTGGGTCCCCAGGAGGAGTTCTCTGAGGATGTCCTGTGCTTGGCTGTCCATGTTCTTCAACAAATACTTGCTAAGCATTACGGATGCCCAAGGCCCTTGGTGACATCACCACACATTGATAGGACATAGCAGTTGTTGGCCTCTATCTGAGGCACTGAGGAGATGCTTTGATTTCTTTTAGTCATTCAGTAAACACTGATTGCTCTCTAACTGGTAAGCCCTTGTGCAAGGGGCTAAGAATGTAACGATGATAAGATGAATGCAGTTTCTGCTTTCATAAATCTTATATTCTAGAAGGAAATGCAGATTAAAAAGGAATACACAGGTAAACAATTACAGATATTTTACAAAGTCCTAAGATGGATAGAGAACCTACTTTAAGTAAAGTGGTCAGGGAAGGCTTCAGACAAATTTCTATTTAAACTGACACCTGAGATGAGAGGGACATCCTGCGTGGTGAGGGGAGGGACGGGGAAATGGAGACAACTGTACTTGAACAACAATAAAAGTATATATATATAAATCTCAAAAAAGGAAGGAAGATAGAACTTTCTAAGCATAAGAAATAGTATGTGCAAAGGTCCTGACGCAAGAAAATAAGTGTCACAGTGATAACCAGCACCCCCCCCCCCCCGATACATTCTTTTCTCTCTTTTTCCATTTGGACTGCCGAGCCTCCCTTTTAGAAGGGAATGGGCATTTTTTTTCTCTCTTTTTTCAGTATGTGACCGGTAATTTTGCTCATTTTCCTCCTGCAGAAATGGTTCAAGCAGCGCCTGGCGCAGTGGCGGCAGTCCGAAGGCCTCCCCTCAGAATGCAGATCCGTCACGGACTGAGAAGATGCCGGGCACCCACAGCTTCCCTCCGTGAAGACCATCTGCTGTTTCTCTCCTCGGCTTAACCCAGCTGTTTTGTTTCTTCAGTGTAGTGTTGTATGTTCCATTGGCAGCTGTCCTGCTATTTAACATGATGTTGTATTTTTTTAATGTATATAACTAGAAAAAAAATAACGATAGGAAGCTTTGTGCAGCTTCTGTGTAAAGCAGTGGCTTGGCTGGGAAAGTGGTGTGGCTTGCATTTCCCTTGGGTCATGATGACGGATGGTGTGAAAACCACCTAAGTTCGCTTTTGATCATCACCTCCCAATAACGATCTACTTTCAACATCCATCTCAGAGCAGGCAAGGCCTCTGTTGAGAAAATAACATGGCCAAGAGGGAGAAACATTTCCTTCTGAATCTACTTCCCTAAGTTGTTTTCCTTATGGTTCATTTAATACATTGAGGGTGAATGAGAATACAGAGGAATATTTGAGTCATTCAGATTTCATAAAGTAGTTCCTTGGATTAAAGATACATTAACTTAGAAAGAACCCAGTTAAGCTAAAAGAAACTCCGCAAGTAGCAAGACAGAAGCAAGTAACTAACCAAAAAAATCCACTAAAGTCTTTAACTTACTTTATTTAAGTGTGTTTGTTAAATTTATTTTGCTAAACAAGATGAACTCTTTGTCTCTAAAATGATATTCTAAATAAAACCTTAACTTTTTGTTGAAAATGCACTGAGTGACTCCTCTGAGGATTTTTACTGAATAATACACATATCAAAGAAAAACAGAATAGCTTCAACACAGAAGCAGACTGACAAAGGAGCTGTTATTTTCCAAATTCACCCTGTACAAAGCGTGGTCCAGAAATGGCGACATCAGCGTTAGCTGCAAGCGTGTGAGAAGCACAGAACCGCGGACTCCAGTCGGGACCTACCAAAGCAGAGTCTGCATCTTTAGCAAGGCCCCCGGTTGGGGTTCCACATGGAAGTCTGAGCAGCGCTGTTTGTTCTCCAGGACTCTGCAGTCCATTTGCACCCATTTTCTATCGTAGCACATCAAACATCTTAATAGTCTATCAATTAAGGTTGTTTGATCACATGGAACAGTAACTTGATTACAATGGATTAACCAAATAGACTTTTGGTCTGTGTGCTCAATTGATAATATTGTTCTTACATAGGATGTCAGCAGGTAGGGGGCTACCTAATGTAGTCAAGGACTGTGGTCATTCTGTCTTCCTGCCTTGCTGTCTTCAGCATGTGGCTCCTGTGTTCATGGATGCCAGAGGAATGCCTGGGCCTGGAGTCTGCCTTTCAAGGGACGGGGCGGGGGGCGGGGGGTGAAGAGAAAAAGAAAAAGGCAAATGCCAGCTAAGACTCTCTCTTTTAAAAAAGGTTTCCTGGCAACCACCCACCCATCAACTTCTACCTGCATATCATTGGCCAGAATTGAGTCATATGACCACACTTAACTCAAGGGAGTATAAGTAAGGTAAATATTTTAAATTGTGCATGTTGCTGCCTTGAGCAAAATCGGGGTTCTGTTGGTGAGAAAGAAGGCGGTGGGGTAGACATCGGAAAAGCCACCACAAGTGTCTGCTAGCCGAGCCAGGAATGACGCTGGTGTGCACTTCTGAACTCTTACCTACTCAGTCTTCTCAGTTAACGTAAAGAGGCCAACAGGGAAAAACGTGGGACAACTGTAATTGAACGATTCAAAACAAAAGATAAAAAAATGAAGAGTCCAAAATAAGAAACACTAAGTTATTCACCATGCAAATGTTTACAGGATCCCCTTAAACATCCTTGACAAGCTTCCTCTTCCTGTACCTTAAAGCATTCCTTCTGTAAACAATACACATGAACTGGGGTCTGAACAGAACAGCCTCATCTGGTGGCCTGAGCATCTGTCAGCACACAGGGCTGGATGCTGACATCACGTTCTGGAAGGAAAGAAGGGAAAAGGTGCGGATTCGCTGGGAATGTGTGCACACACTAGACAGTGGCTGACAGGGAGGAAGAACTGTGCTGCCAATATGACTGCGGGCAAAGTGGGCGCAGAGCACTGTGATGTGTCCATCCTAGCAATGAGAGAGATGCTAACCCAGGTCTAAGACCCAAGTCAGAAGTCTTTCTAGCATAACAGATGCATAATTCAAGAGCAATCCATCCAGGACAAGAAGAGCTGACCAACTAGGCAGAGAGTGTGCCCTTAGTTTCATGCTCTTTATGACAGCACGGAGTGCTTATGACAAAGGATCACTTCCTGTGCTTATCAGGCTGGAGAGTCATGAATCCTTGAATGGCATGTGCTTGGAGGAAATGAGGATTCCTGTCCATTCATTCATTCATTCATTCATTGTAACAAGAGCCAAGTTTTTTATTCATTCATTTCTTGTGTTTGAACTACTCTTTGATGTCATTCTTAGCCTGCTAGTCTTTACCATAGCCCTTAACTACCACGTGAGTACAACTAACTTGAAGTGGTTTTCCCTCTATCAGTTTTACAGAGGGCTCTCTTAGCTTTATAGTCAGGAGTCGCTTCTGGACCCTCAGGGCCATACACCACAGTGAGAACAACCACCCCAGACTGAGAAAAACTCTGCACACTCTCTTTCTTTGCCTTGTGTTGCCCCAATTTTGCCATTGCAGACACCATTGCTTAAACTGACATTTATTCCTACCCCTTTCTCTTTCACCACCTTTGTCTGTTTAAGGCCATAGAGGCCAAAAAGCTGGAATACTCCCTCCCCCATCCTCACATGGAAGCTGTGGAGGTCATGTGACATGATCTGGCCAAGGACATTTCGGTGAAAACTTGGGGGGCAGAAGACTTTTGGGAAAGATTTTGCCTTTTTTGATAAAAGATACAGAGGTACCAGCCTCTGTCCTTTGCTCCTTTCTTTCCTTAAAGCAGTGTCACTTGTTCATTATAGAACTAGAGACAAGCAAAAAAATGAGACATGCAATAAAACCCATAAAAATTACCCATGATTCCACCACCCGGAATTAACCTTAATATTACTATTATATGATCACATGGAGGGGAGGCATGTTTTATTATTATTTTTATTTATTATTATTATTTTTTAGATCAGAGGGTCCCATGATCCCCTCCTTAGGTTTGATTGATTTACTGGAACAGCTCACAGAATTTAGGAAAAACAGTTTACTTATTATAAAGGATATAATTCAGGAACAGCCAGATAGAAGATTTTGGGGGAACGGTATGGAGCTTTCCTGCCCTCTCTGGGCACCGCCCCCCCTTCAGCACCTCCACCTGTTCACAACCCCGGAAATTCTCTGAATCCTATACGTTGGGGGATTGTTGTGGAGTCATCATTGTGTGGGCAATTGATTAAGTCATTGGCCATTCAGGATTAAACTCAATTTCCAGCCCTGGGTCCCCTCTTTGGAGGTCCAGGGTGATGGGGGTGGGGTCGAGAGTGCCAGTGCTCTAATCCAGCGATTTTCAGCTGGGGTGCAGCAGCACCCTGGTGCACCACAAGAATTTGTAAAACATGCAGTACCTGACTGTTTAGTCAGGGTTCTGACCTCTTTCCCCTCAGATTGTCAAATTAAAAAATGACAACAGCCAACACAACAATAGTCATCCAGTGTGAATGAATCAAAATTACACCAACTTTTTTTTATCAGATCAGCAAGAAATATACCTTTTTGGTATGCCACAGAATTTTAGTAATTACATTATGTGTACCATGAGATGAAAAAGTTTGAAAATCACTGCTCTAATCATGTGGTTTGTTTCCTTGGCAACAAGTTCCCATCCTGTCTAGGGGCTTTCCAAAAATCATCGCATTAACATGAACTCAAGTATGGCCGAGAGGACTTGCTATGCATAACATACACACCTTCTGCCTTCATCATTCTGGACCTACTTCAGAAACTGGAGCTATTTGAGGACAACATACCAAATATTAAAACAATTAATACTCCAGTGCTCGTATTACTTATAAAATCACATGGGTTTTAGGAGCTGTGTGCCAGGGGCAGAATTCAGACCAAATATTCTGGTTCTAAATCACAATATTACAGGATGGAAAGATCATTCCTGAGGAGAAATCTGCTCTTTTGTTTATAAAAACACCTTGATGTGTTGGGGTTTTTATTTGTTTGTTTGTTTGTTTCGGGCTTTGGGGTTTTTTGGGGGGGCATCTCTGAAGCATGCCTAGTAAGAGAAAAAATAAATAATTCAGTGGCCATGAACAAAAGGTGGTAGGAACTTAGGGATTTAGAGTGTGTTCCATGGCAGCTGGGATAGGAGGTTCCTTGGGCGCTTAGGGGAGGGATGGAGGAGAATGACCCAGAAAGGTCATGGGTCAAGATGTCAGCTGCCCCAGAAGGCTGGGGGAGTTGGCTCCAGGACTGCACAATGTCAGACATTCTATTTTAAATTAACATGTGCTGTTGTCATGTTGCCATGGTTCTTTGTTATCCTCAGCCTCCAGGAAAGTTCTGTGACACAAAGTGGCCTAGCACTGGTGATCTTTGTGGGAAGGGGAAGGAGCTGCTTGAGCCATGCCGTGGTCTGCAGGAGCACTTGTTTCTGCCGGCTGTCTTGTTATTGTAAGAGGGTAACAGCACCCCTTTCCATTTAGGGAACTTCTCCTATTTCATGTGCCCTGGAAGGGCAGTTAACCACAGCCCCATTCCCCACATTAGTCACATGACCCAGGTTGGCCAATCACAATGCCGTATCCCTTCGCACACAGGGACTGAGCCAAGGTATGGGCCCTTGACCTCAGCGGGGTCCAAGTCCTTCACCAGCATTTCTCTAATTGGACCAGGAAGGGTTAGGGTTAATTCTTATCATTGTCTTGCACAGAAGGTTGTGAGGATGGAGGCTGGGGGTTGCAGGCAGCCATCTACCCAGCCACATAGAGAATGTAGGTGAGAGCATGAAGCCAGGCCGAGATGGGAGTTGGAAAGAAAGCCAGGTTTTGGGGCCCTGCTTCCCACTCTTCCCTTGGGCTGCCCCAGCCTTCCTGACTCTGTGAACTAACGAATTCCCTTCTCGGTGTATTCTGTCCTTTTCAGCAAGAAGAGTCCTGACTAATGGCAGAGTGAAAAAAAAGAAGAGAAGAGTTCAGGCAAGGAGGAATATCAGCCACTAGAGTAATTAAGAGTCCAGGAGAAACAGGAATTCAGAGTAAAAGATAGCCAGGAATATATAAGCCAACAAACCTTGAAAATAATTGCATAGACTTTTCTCAGTTCATCGAGACTGAGAAAAAAATTAGTTTTGCCTCTGAAAGAAAAAGATGACAAGAAGATAATTTATGGATGTCAAGTGCATACTTTTTTGAACTAAGTGCAAATGTACGGTAGATAGGAGTCTGTCACACTCTTGGGGACATTTTGCTACTCTCTCTCAAGGCTTGCCATCTCCATTTAGAAATCTTGCTCCACGTTATTCTACTCTCCACTAAAAAGTCATTTAAAAAACCTCATGCCAACTCTTTCAAATGCATCCCTGTCCCAACTCAATGCCAAAGTAACTAGTAATAACAATGATAATAAGAAAAATAATTTGAAACTTCATGTTCTTTTCCCATGATGGAAGAACTAAGAGGTAGTGAAGTGAACGTAAGTCAGGCAAGGCTCTGGGACATCAGCCACTGCTGTGCCGGCAAGGCCAGAGAATAAGATTCCTTGGTTTTGTAAAGCCCGGTGCCACGATGCTGTGGTATACAGTGTAAATAGTTGCAGGCA